CCGGTGCAGGATCCACGGCACAGCAGGATGCGTTCTCAGCGGTGTCATCCCGTAAGTTTCATTCTCTGTCTTTCTCTCTTTCGTTCCTCCTCACTCCTCACTTCTCACTCCATTCACCTATCGCGCAATCGATTCGCCCTTTTCTCATGCTTCTGTGTTTCGTCGCACGCGTCCCTTTTCGATTCCGTCCCGACGAATCCCTTTTTCAGTTGAGTTAAGTTAAGGGAGTTTTTGTTCGGTGAAAATTTGGCAAAAAGAAAAAAGGGGAAATAAATTTTAAATTTTAAGTCTCTTGGAATCTTTCCATGGTTTCTTCTTTTTCTTCTTTTTTCTCCTCTTCGTTTCTTTTATTTTTCGATCGCAATTTCAGTACAGTTTTAGGTTCAATTTATTTCACGCACGGATAATTCTCTAACGCGTAAACCGCCCGCTTCCTGTTAAACTATTGTATTAATAGTTGATCGGCCGATGTTTACGATACGTAGTCGAGTACATTTGTAATCGATATCGCAGCGCTGCGTCACGCAATCAGGGACAATCGATGAAATTAGTTTCGTTAGTATATTAGTGTACTACGTGCTACCGATTCCAAACTTCGAGTCGCGAAAAAAGTCTCGTTAAAACTTTGATGAAATATATTCGTGTATAAGACGAGATAAAAATTCACGGGTACAGCGATTTCGATCTTTGAAACGCACCTCGTTTTCATCCCGATATCTCGAGACACGGAAAAATATTGGCCCCTATGAATGGCCCCAGTCGACGTGACCCACATTTTTTTCCCCCCTGTAACGCGTACGGCGCGATAGTGAAATAGCAAAAAAAGGAAAGAAAAAAAGTGGCGACTGTGCAGTGAGCAGCGCACGTGGCGCGCGAGCTTGCGATAGGTCGACCGTGACGAGGCGCGAGCGAGAGATCCGAGCGTGCGACGAGCACGGACGTATAACTCGGGATATTTAAGAAAAAAATTTATCGTTCCCTTGGAACGAGGCGAATATCTCGGGAAGCGAGAGTCGGATCGAGGCGAAACAAGAACGAATACGTTGCCACGCATTCGGCCATCGCGTGGATTTTAAATTTGCAAATATTTTTGCCTCCGTCGTAACAACGATTACCGATCGATTGACCGTTTGTTAATTTCGAATACGGGATATTGGGGGAAGGGGAGGGTCTACCGTTAGAGATACGAGTTTAGTTTGGAGGGAAATTAGTAATAGCTGTCGCGTTTCGCGTTTCTCCGTGTATTCCACTGTTTACGATTGTAATTATATTTCATAGTCGAAACACATATCGGAATATTATATCGCCAGCCGCAAAATGGAACACTTTTCATTCGTTATTACATCGTTGATAATACTTTGCTTTAGCAATTATTCGTCTCTCCCTACGCGTTTCGATTTCTGAAAAAGAAAAATCTCTCTTATTTATTTCTCCTCCCTATTATTCTTCCTCCCAATTCTTCAATCCCCTTGCCCACACAATCTTTCCGTTTCACAGTTTTTTAAAGTTGATTTAAAAAAAAAACGCAACGGTCGATCTCTCTTTTTCTTTTCCAAACGAAACCAGTGGTCCCAGACTCGACGACGACGGGCCAGTCCGACCCGCTCGACCCGTTGAGCAGCCTGATGTCGGGTACGCCGAGTCAGAGGTACCAGGACTACGTGTCACCCAGATCCCTGTCCACGGACTCGAGCACGACGGAGAGCCCCGTTCACGAGGAGCAAGGATTCGGACAGAATTACGGCAACTACTTCCCGACGCCCGGCGTCCTGCCCAGCATCCTCTATTCCCAATTGTACGGGAACCAGTTCCAGAATTCGGAGAGTCCCGAGCAGAGAGCGGTGGCGGACAGTTGCAGCGTGAGGCAAGAGGAAGTGAGACCGGACAACAACGTGTGGAGGCCTTATTAAGATCCAAGAGAAGAGAACTCGTTTGTTGTGAGGTCGTGAGTTGGAGAGAATTTTTCGTGATGGAAAAATCTCGTGTCTCGTGGACGATTGATAACGATATTGGATCACTTGGGGAGACGAGCGAACTGTGATCGGCGTGTGGATGTGTGGGGACTCGAGGTGTTGTTGTTCGAACGAGCGAACGGGGGGAAAAAAAAAGGGGAAAAAAAAAGAAAAAAGAAGAGAAAGAACTAGTTACTAGTGGGCATTAAAAACAGAACGGAAAAAAAAAAAAAAAGAAGAAACGCGTGTGCGCGTTCGAAGAACTCGTCACGCGATCGGATGATGATTTTGTTCTTGTTTTTTTTTTTTTTTTTTTTCTTTTCGCTGATTGTGTCTCGAATCTCTGAAGAGGGAGAAGAGCCGATTTGTAATTAACCGAGTGTGCCGATGTGTGAACGGGTGAACGTTGGCTTGCTTGCTTGTTGGCCCCCCCACGGTGATGGTGACGATGATGATGATGTATATAGAGAAACACTGTACATAGATAGAGCATTGTCGTTTCATCGAGTCATTCATCACTGTCGTCGGACTGCGCGACGTGTGTGACGACTTGTGTCGACGGGTTGCGTCTCGGAGGATGGCTGGTTGAGCCGATTTCGTTGAGCTATCCCGCTGTGTGTCCCGTTTGTCGCTCGCGAGGGCGAGAATAATGTACCGTTTCTTTTTTTTTTTTTTTTTTC